GGAGACTGGTTCTCCTTGGAGTTTTTCAAGCTGTGAACTTTGGCACTTGGTGCTCGGTCAACTGAGTGTGAGACAGAGATTGGTTTGCATGGCTGTCCTTTGCAAAATTTTAAACTGCTTGAGTTTACCAAGTGATCTACTTGTTTCTCTCTGTCTACGACACTACTTTGACTTTGAACATCTTCAGATCTATTTAGTGTTAACTCAGAGTTTAGAGACTTTGTATCTGCTTCAGGAACTGTTCTCCTTTTGACTGGGGTGACCTCCTGCTGATTCAAAGTCTGCTTGCTTTGTTTATTGCATAGCTCCTCCAAGAGGGGGGGTCACCATTTGTTCTGAGGCATGGTCAGTCTGGCCACATGGGTCTTTGATCTTGTCAGCTCCTGACAATAAAATGTTTGCAGCACTTACTCTGTGGCAGATCATCTGATATTTGGCTTCTAACTCAGAGTACTGTTTAGCTTTTATTTGGGATTTAAGCTGATAAAGTATTGTGAGCTCACAGAGTACATCTGTTATCAGAAAGTTTCCATTTGGGTTTTGAATTAAGTTAATTAATTCTTGAATCTTTTCTTCACATAGGCTGAGGTTAAAATTGTTTAGGTTATCCTGCTTTTCTGAAGATAAGTGGATAAGCTTTGCAACAATTTGTTTCTGTTTCTCTATGCCTATGGAGTCAATGGTGTGCCCAGAATTGAGGATGCTTGGATCCATTTTCAGCTGATGGCACAAAAACACAAGTTATGAAGAAATTTCAAAAGAACACAATCCAGTCAGTACCCACTATACTTGTATATTTACATATACATATTGTAAGGACTTATTTTTATGTGTGTAGAAACGGGTCACAGGTTATCTTTAAACCTGTGATATCAAAGAAACACTTTTTCTTTTCAGTGTTAGAAATGCTACACCTTGTTTAGGATTTACCAGCTATTTTAGCGCATGCTTTACCTGTCTCTGAGGATTTATAAGCAGTTTGGCGCAAAGCTTACCTTTTAAGGACTTACAAGCAATTTTGCTTATGCTTCACCCTTTTCTATGATACACTATATTGCCAAAAGTATTTGCTCACCCATCCAAATTATTGGAATCAGGTGTTCCAATCACTTCCATGGCCACAGGTGTATAAATTCAAGCACCTAGGCATGCAGACTGTTTTTACAAACATTTGTGAAAGAATGGGTCGCTCTCAGGAGCTCAGTGAATTCCAGCGTGGAACTGTGATAGGATGCCACCTGTGCAACAAATCCAGTCGTGAAATTTCCTCGCTCCTAAATATTCCACAGTCAACTGTCAGCTGTATTATAAGAAAATGGAAGTGTTTGGGAACGACAGCAACTCAGCCACGAAGTGGTAGGCCACGTAAACTGACGGAGCGGGGTCAGCGGATGCTGAAGCGCATAGTGCGAAGAGGTCGCCAACTTTCTGCAGAGTCAATCACTACAGACCTCCAAACTTCATGTGGCCTTCAGATTAGCTCAAGAACAGTGCGCAGAGAGCTTCATGGAATGGGTTTCCATGGTCGAGCAGCTGCATCCAAGCCATACATCACCAAGTGCAATGCAAAGCGTCGGATGCGGTGGTGTAAAGCACGCCGCCACTGGACTCTAGAGCAGTGGAGACGCGTTCTCTGGAGTGACGAATCGCGCTTCTCCATCTGGCAATCTGATGGACGGGTCTGGGTTTGGCGGTTGCCAGGAGAACGGTACTTGTCTGACTGCATTGTGCCAAGTGTAAAGTTTGGTGAAGGGGGGATTATGGTGTGGGGTTGTTTTTCAGGAGCTGGGCTTGGCCCCTTAGTTCCAAGGAAAGGAACTCTGAATGCTTCAGCATACCAAGACATTTTGGACAATTCCATGCTCCCAACTTTGTGGGAACAGTTTGGAGCTGGCCCCTTCCTCTTCCAACATGACTGTGCACCAGTGCACAAAGCAAGGTCCATAAAGACATGGATGACAGAGTCTGGTGTGGATGAACTTGACTGGCCTGCACAGAGTCCTGACCTCAACCCGATAGAACACCTTTGGGATGAATTAGAGCGGAGACTGAGAGCCAGGCCTTCTCGTCCAACATCAGTGTGCGACCTCACAAATGCGCTTCTGGAAGAATGGTCAAAAATTCCCATAAACACACTCCTAAACCTTGTGGACAGCCTTCCCAGAAGAGTTGAAGCTGTTCTAGCTGCAAAGGGTGGACCGACGTCATATTGAACCCTATGGATTAGGAACGGGATGTCACTTAAGCTCATATGTGAGTCAAGGCAGGTGAGCAAATACTTTTGGCAATATAGTGTATCAAAGAAACACTTTTCTTTCAGTGTTAAAAATGTTATACCTTGTTTTAGGATTTATTAGCTATTTTAGCGCATGCTTTACCTGTCTTGGAGGATTTATAAGCAGTTTGGCACAAAGCTTAACCTTTAAGGTTTTACTAGCAATTTAGCTTATGATTCACCTTTCTTTAAGGGATTTTAAGCAATTTAATTTGAATCCACCCCCTTTTGGTCAGGTAGGACCACAGATTAACTTACGTTAAATCTGGCAACAGACCTTGTTCTACACAATATAAAATAAGTGTTTAGGGGTCTTATCAGACTAATGGACAAAGGGATTAAGGTTAAATTTCGAGGCATCTAACCTATTTTGGACTGGAAGGGACTTTGAAATAGCATAACTTGGGAGTTTTCATTTTTGGGATGTGGTTATAGAAACCACAAATGGCAGCATCTAGTTATAGATGTGCCTAAATTTTGGTCGAACGATAAGATTAACTTGGGTGTTAAATCTTTTAGTTTTAGTTGGACCAAAGTGATCGGATTGATTTGAATCATCTGAGTTTTGCTTTGAAGTAAAGTTGGTTATCACCAGCTGAAGAGATATTTTGGAGTTACTAGATTTAGTTAAATTTTCTATATTTTGATGCTCCAAGAATGTCAAAGGTTATATTTTCTTCTCATATAAGCTAAGACATTTAGTATTGGATTCTTAAGTTGTGAGTTTAAGATTTCATTATTGAGTGGTGAGAGCTGATGTTAATGCTTTCACACGGTTTTCAATAATGGTTTATTCTCATGTATGTGCAGAATGACTGTTATATTCGATGACCAACAAACTGAGACACCAATTAAATGTTACATTCAATGAGCCCAGTCGCATGGGATGCTAAATAAATGTTACAATTAATGGGCCCAGCAATCAGGGACGCCATATTTATGTTGTGATTCTATAGTTAAATTCTATTCCCGGCCCGCTGGGAAGTTATGTTTCTGATACTTTAAGATGTTTATTGCCCTCCCCTGTAGGGGTGGTAAAATATCTTATTTAATCAGATATTATTTCAGCTGTTATATACTGTTTATGACGCACAGTCCTACTAACTGTGTGTTAGAACAATAGATGAAAGCTGATTCGAGCACTAATCATGGTCAAACAGTTATTTCTGCACATAGATGGAATAAATTCACCACAACTTCTGTTCAAAATATAAGATTTTATTAACAAAAATAATTCAGCTCCACGTCAAACGTATTTCAGTTTAACACTCTCAACTAAGACTAGTAAAACTAAACTAAACTAAACTAACTACTATGTACAAAGAGGAAGGGGAAAACGGTTGAAAAACATATTACAGTTTAAGATTGGTTTTCAGACCAATTCACAATGCAAATCCATGAGGTGAATAAAACATTATTTGGCCAAATAATGTTCTATTGAATGATTTGCTTAATCAAGAACCAATAACCTTTAGCTAAATGATTCTTTACCCTCTTTGAAAAAGCTAGCAGCGAATAGACATCAGGATTCCACTAAATGACTCTTGGTCAGACTTGGTAATGGAAATGTAATGAGCATCTGAGGAACACATGAACACTAATGTTATATCAGTATTTAAATCCTTATTGAATAAAGCTTGTCTAAGCTTTAGCAACAGCTCAACACATATTCCTGTAGCATAGCGCAGCATGCAGTCCATTCTTTAGCATCAATTAGCGTTGTCTTTACTCCGCAGTAAACACACGATATGATTAGCATCATCAAAAGACACATTGCTTGTTGTGTCCCTAATCATGCCAGACCTGCAAACCTTTTTCCATGTCCATTTGGAAAGCTTGAGTTTCATCCAGTTTTGCAGCTCTGCAGTCAGGGACTCATTGTCTCAGTCTCACAACAGGGGTCCTCTCAGTCTCACACCAGGGCATGCTCCTCGTCCAGTTTGGCTCTGTAAGTTCTGAAACTCAAGAGAAATGTATTGCAAAAGTTCTGTTTGCAGCAGTTTGGTTCTGAAGGGTTCGACTTATCCTCGATGGTTCTGGGGATCTGGTTCCCCTGGGGCCCGCATCTCCACTGTGGGCCACAGTGGGCCCCAGCTTTGAGTGCAGGAGCAGAAGGGAGCAAAAGAGAGAAAGAGGCAACAGAGGCAAAAGAGGCACAATCCTGTGTGCTCTGTGGTTTTCTCTGACTTCACAGGGAGGGGGGTAGGTTTTCACACCTCTGGTGGCTCCCATGTGACTTCCATGTGGCTGCTTTTGCTGAAAAAGGGGGGGCTGCAGAATTCCCCCAGCTGTTATCCACCAAAGCTGCGTTCTCTTCTCTGGTCGTCCTATCAGGATGAAATATGGACACTGCTTCCCAATGTCCAAAAAGTATGATCATGGCATATGGCACAACAACATGTGGAGAAACTTTTCTAAATAAAGAACATTTAATGGTTCACATGAGAACTCACACAGGTCAGATTTATGAATGTCCTGTGGAAAAATGTTCTGTAAGAAATCTGATCTTGATAGACACATGAGAATTCTCACAGGGGAGAATCCTTTTTCCTAGGGATGCACGATATTGGGATTTTGGCCGATATCTGATATGCCGATGTTTTCAAATGCATGCGGCCGATAACCGATACCGATATTAAAACTGAAAAATAAATCATGTAATATTCATTCCTTGTGCAAAATTAGAAAAATACTCCAACTTGTGTTATGTATAACAAGTTAAGTTTAATGACAATTGTTTTAACAAAAACAAATAGGAAATGTGCGTTTTATCCTAGAACAACCTGGATTTTCTTTTCACTGAGAAAAAAACTAACCTAAAAACATGGATATTTGGTTATTACACAAATGATTGTGTATAAACTCTGTCCACACAGAACATAGAGAGAAGTGCATTGTATAAGTATTCTGCAAACACAAATAAAACAACAGATATCTCCGATAGTGAATCTAGATCAGTTTATGGCCAGATGTGCTGGACAGACAATCACTTAAATTCAAAATAGACTGTAAGCAAAGCTGGTTATGCTGGTACAATTTAAAAATGACTAACTCAAATCTTAAATCTGATCAGTGCAAACAAACTGAAAACTGCAAAAAATGTTGTCTGCTTCAGTTCTTTGTCCAGTTCAGTGTTCACAGCACTATTTCAACTCCAAAATTGCATAACAGAGTAGGTGATGTGCAAATAACATGTGCAAAAATGTAAATAAGTAACATACACTAGTAACAGTTTTGGTCCTCCGTAACAACACATCCTGCCCTTTTAAAGTCCATAGAAAAATACTTAAAGACTGACAGGCAAATGTAAATAATCTAAAAGTCCAGTGTGAGAGGCAGGTTTTTTGGACAAAAAAAAGCATCTCTGCCTTTTCACAAGCTATGAGGTTGATATGTGAAACAGCACTGAACAGCTGTTTGCTGTCAACACTAGAGCTGGGTGCACTGAGGTACTTGCATGCAACCTGGGCAAGAGCTGGGAAGCGGGCCTGGTTGGAATTCCAGTACTCCAAAGGACTGGCAGTTCTGGGAATGGTGGGTTCACCCAGGTATATGTGTACCTTTTTAAAACAAAAAAAGAAAGCAAATATGAAATTTTATTGCAAGCACAAACAGTACAATAAAGTGCAAATCTTTTTTATGCATTTAATTAACTTTACATTAGTAATTATTCTTAGTTTATTCACCTGTGATGCTGTCTCGCTTGTGGAGGCGTGCTCTGGCAAAATGCTCTCTTCGATGATTTCGTCGTACATGTCCAACAGTGATCCAGTTCAGGCCTTCTTCTTTAGTGGGAGGTCATCTCTACTGGCATCTCCGTGCTCACTACCATCTCTGACGCTGTGACCCATTTCATTGATGGCGCTTAGTAACAGGTTGTGCGCTCCCTCCTTCATTTCTCTGTCAAAGTAACTATCTTTAAATCTTGCATCCAGCATGGTTGCAACAGCATAAAAATGCTTTTCTTTGCACACCATCAAAGCGAGCACAGACAGCTTCCAGCAGAGTACTTTTGGCTGTCTGCACACCTCTGTCTGACTCACTTGCTTGCTCAGCAGCCGAATCAATGCCATTACCGCTGGGATGACCTCTGAAACAGATGCCTGTGCAGAACTGATCTCTCTGGTCAGTTGCTCGAAGGGTGCAAGTAGGGTGATCATATTTTCATGAATTCCCCACTGGTTTGCCGTCAGAGTCACTGGGAGGTCAAAATCAGCAGCATACGTACCCAAAGCTCTCTTCTGCTCCACCAGGCTCTGCATCATGTAAAAAGTCGAATTCCACTGCTTGGACACGTCTTGTTGAAGCCTTTTAATAGGCATCCCGAGCTCATTCTGTACATCTTCAAGTCGACTGCAGGCTAGTTGTGAATGTTTGAAGTGCCCAACTATTTTCTTAGCCACGGCTACAACGTCTGAGATGCTGCGCTGAGACAGCATGCCTTCTTTCACGGCGAGCTGCAAGCTATGTGCCATGCACGGCAAACTTACACCCAAGTCCATCAATGCCTTAGTCACAATACGCGCATTGTCCCTCACAACAACGTGCACATTCTCCTTTGGAATTTTCCACCTTTCAAGCATGCCTTCAAAAGCAGATGTGAGCGCAGCTGCGGTTTGGGATCCTCTGCACTCTTGCGCATGAAGAACAGCCTTTTTAAGCTCGAAGTTTTTGTTAATCCATTGTGCTGTAAGACTTAGCATGCTTACAGGGCTAACACTTGATGTCCAGATGTCTGTGGTGAAACTCACCCAAGTGCAATCGGCAATTAGCTTCTCAATGCGGGTGGAAATTTCCGCTTGCAACTCTGGCAAGGCTACATCCAAAAAATACCTCCGACTGGGGACCGTGTAGCGAGGTTCAACGTATTCCAAAAATCTCCTGAATCCAACGTCTTCAACGAATGAAAAAGGCTGGTTATCCAGAGCAATACACTCCATCAGTTTCTGAGAGATGCCTTTTGCCCTTGGTTGATCGCGGATGAATTTCTTGGATTTATCCAAGGCTTGATGGAGAGACTGCTGCTGGAGAAGCTTCGATACGCCGCCGCTGGTAACCTGCTTCTCTTTTTCCTTTCTCGACGCCAAGAACTCGGTGTAACGGTCGTCAGGATGACGGCTCTTGAGATGGTTAATCAGGTTAGTGGTGTTGAAAGACTTTGTTTTAAATCCTCCATCACTGATGCTGAGCAGTCATTGCAAATAGCAGTTTTGCTATCTGTTTCCGATTCCTTAAAAAACATCCACACCGCTGACATTTTGTTTTCATCTGCTACAGTACCTGCCCAGACGTGATAAAGGTGCACCGGTGAACATGCCGTTGTGACGTTTGTATCCTTGCGCGGGAGGGGTGTGGGCAGCAGAGGAAGGAGGACAGGGGAAAAAAACATACAGCAGGTTCATTATAGATAGATAGATAGATAGATAGATAGATAGATAGATAGATAGATGTACTTTATTTATCCCAAGCTGGGAAATTGCAGTGTAGCAGCAGCTTTACACATAGTGACAGTCACAAATTACCACAATTAGTCACAATTACCAAACAGCGACCTGATCGGTTGAATATCGGTGGGGTGGCCGATGTCCGATACTCAGTTTTAAGGCCGATATAGGCCAATACCGATAGGGGGCCGATTATATCGTGCATCCCTACTTTTTCCTGTACCATTTGTAAGAAGTTTACTGAAAAAATTCATTTGAGTAGACATATTAGAATTCACAAATGGTGAGAAGCCCTTTTAATCTTGATGCACACATGAGAATTCACACAGGGGAGAAACCTTTTTTATGTCTGTCCTGTGGAAAAAGCTTCACTCAGAAATCTAGTCTTGATACACACATCAATCACATACATTTGTGACAAAGGTTTTAAAAAAGAAGGTAATTTGAGTCTTCAGGTGACAGTTATTCATGCAGGATGTGGAATGATTTATATGTATAGTTTTTAAAAATGTTTTTTCATATAAGTCAGAGCAGTTAGACGCCACAGGAAGGAACAGTGGAGGCGTTTTCTATGTATGCTGTTGAAACCAGGCCCACCAAAACTCCAACTGTTTTAGCCACAGTGTTAGAGCTATGGTCAATAGATATTAGAATGAAGTAGATCATCTATAGAGGAGTCTCAGATGAAGATTTTGGACATACAGGTGCTGGTCATAAAATTAGAATATCATGAAAAAGTAGATTGATTTCAGTAATTCCATTTAAAAAGTGAAACTTGTATATTATATTCATACATTACATACAAACTCATATATTTCAGATGTTTATTTTGTTTAATTTTGATGATTACAAATGACAACAAATGAAAATCTCAAATTCATCATATCAGAAAATTAGAATATTACTGAAGACCAATAAAAACAAAGGATTTATAGAAATGTTGGCCAACTGAAAAGTATGAACATGAAAAGTATGAGCATGTACAGCACTCAGTATTTAGTTGGGCCTCCTTTGGCCTGTATTACTGCAGCAATGCGGCGTGGCATGGAGTCGATCAGTCTGTGGCACTGCTCAGGTGTTATGATAGCCCAGGTTGCTCTAATAGTGGCTTTTAGCTCTTCTGAATTGTTGGGTCTGGTGTATTGCATCTTCTTCTTCACAATACCCCATAGATTTTCTATGGGGTTAAGGTCAGGAGAGTTTGCTGGCCAATTAAGAACAGGGATACCATGGTCCTTCAACCAGGTACTGGTAGCTTTGGCACTGTGTGCAGGTGCCAAGTCCTGTTGGAAAATGAAATCTGCATCTCCAAAAAGTTGGTCAGCTGCAGGAAGCATGAAGTGCTCTAAAACTTCCTGGTATGTGGCTGCGTTGACCCTGGACCTCAGAAAACACAATGGACCAACACCAGCAGATGACATGGCACCCCAAACCATCACTGACTGTGGAAACTTTACACTGGACTTCAAGCAACGTGGATGAAGAGCCTCTCTTCTTTTCCTCCAGACTCTGGGACCTTGATTTCCAAAGGAAATGCAAAATTTACTTTCATCAGAGAACATGACTTTGGACCACTCACCAGCAGTCCAGTCCTGTTTCTCTTTAGATGCTTCTGACGCTGTCTGTGGTTCAAGAGTGGCTTGACACAAGGAATGCGACAGCAGAAACCCATGTCTTTCATACGTCTGTGTGTGGTGGTTCTTGAAGCACTCACTCCAGCTGCAGTCCACTCTTTGTGAATCTCCCCCACATTTTTGAAGGGGTTTTGTTTCACAATCCTCTCCAGGGTGCGGTTATCTCTCTTGCTTGTACACTTTTTTCGACCACATCTTTTCCTTCCCTTCGCCTCTCTATTAATGTGCTTGGACACTGAGCTCTGTGAACAGCCAGCCTCTTTAGCGATGACCTTTTGTGTCTTGCCCTCCTTGTGCAAGGTGTCGATGGTCGTCTTTTGGACAACTGTCAAGTCAGCAGTCTTCCCCATGATTGTGTAGCCTATAGAACTAGACTGAAAGACCATTTAAAGGCTTTTGCAGGTGGTTTGAGTTAATTAGCTGATTAGAGTGTGGCACCAGGGGCCATCAATTTTGAACCTTTTCACAATATTCTAATTTTCTGATATGATGAATTTGAGATTTTCATTTGTTGTCATTTGTAATCATCAAAATTAAACAAAATAAACATCTGAAATATATGAGTTTGTATGTAATGTATGAATATAATATAAAAGTTTCACTTTTTAAATGGAATTACTGAAATCAATCTACTTTTTCATGATATTCTAATTTTATGACCAGCACCTGTATACAAGTGTGTGTCAGTCTAAGAGTTAGTCAGCTTCAAGCTAATTAATATTGCTTCACTGGGTGTGAAGGCATCTGAAGCAGGGCGAGCATTGAGGCGATGACGGACAGAGTTGGTTGCTTGTCCTCTGACATTGCCATGGTAACTTCTTTCATCAGTTTGTCAGGATGTAACAAATCCTCAGCAGTTGATACATCCTCCTCTGTTAGGGAGCACAAATCTTTTTCGTTCCTGCTCATGTCTTGAGAAAGGAGAGTAGCAGAGATGGCTGGTTGTTGCTCTAAAAAGCGCTCCAGCATGTCCGATACACTGTTCCATCTGGTCACAACATTTAGCATAGCATGATATCTTGTCAGGTGATTTTGGAGATTTGTAGTTTATTAACAGTAACTGACCTCCGCTTGACAGATCTTGCAGACCACTTTGGCTTTATCCACCACATTGTCTTTAGTTCTTTTAAATCCGAAATGGTTCCAGGCGTCAGACTTTAATTGGGACGGCTTGCTGAGTGGTGTGTTACTTGCGTCGGCCATTTTGCATTTGCCCACGCCTGCTCTTGTACGTCAACGTCACTCATGTCTCTATAAAACTAATCAATCTCATTCCCTACACAGCGATTTTGTAAAATTTTACTGGAATCGATCCAAAATCGATTAAATCGATTTTTTTTTTAAGCCACCCCTATTAAAGATAAAAGTGGAGGTCCAAACCTGTGACTGTACTATCAGGTTGCATGATGGGAGATGTAGTTCCAGTCTGTTTGTATGTAGTTAGATTGACACAATGATGATTAAAGGATCCACTTGCCCCCCAAACTGAAGGACAGAGTTTGGTGCTTTTATGTGAGGTGTCCTTTCTTTAACTTGCAATAATAAGTCTGTCTGCTGTGTTTGTCTTTCAGACCGCCTGCAGGATTTTGTTGGAAAAGAGGAGGATTTCTCTGACCAGCAGCTCTGTGGACAGGAGAGGAATTCCAGTTTGGACCAAGAGGAACAGGAACCTCTGCAGATAAAAGAAGAGCAGCAAGAACCAGAACATCCCTGGACAAAAGAGGAAACCATGGAGCTCCCCATTAGTGAGCACGAAGAGCAGCAACCTTTCCCATGTCTGACATGTGGAGAAAGTTTTCTACATAAAGAACGTTTAATGGTTCACATGAGAACTCACAAAGGTCAGAGGATTTATGAATGTCTGTCCTGTGGAAAACGCTTTACTATGAAATCTCATCTTGACACACACATGAGAATTCACACAGGTGAGAAGCCTTTTGAATGTCTGTCTTGTGGAAAACGCTTTACTGTGAAATCTAATCTTGATAGACACATGAGATTCCACACAGGTGAGAAGCCTTTTGAATGTCTGTCTTGTGGAAAACGCTTTACTCTGAAATCTGATCTTGATGCACACATGAGAATTCACACAGGTGAGAAGCCTTTTGAATGTCTGTCTTGTGGAAAACGCTTTACTAGGAAATATAATCTTGATACACACATGAGATTCCACACAGGTGAGAAGCCTTTTGAATGTCTGTCTTGTGGAAAAGGCTTTACTATGAAATCTGATCTTGATACACACATGAGAATTCACACTGGTGAGAAGCCTTTTGAATGTCTCTCCTGTCGAAAAAGCTTCAGCTCCAAGTCTGATCTTAATATTCACATGAGAATTCACACAGGTGAGAAGCCTTTTGAATGTCTGTCTTGTGGAAAACGCTTTACTATGAAATCTCATCTTGATAGACACATGAGAATCCACACAGGTGAGAAACCTTTTTCATGTCTGTCTTGTGGAAAAAGCTTTACTCAGAAATCTCATCTTGACACACACATGAGAATTCACAGAGGTGAGAAACCTTTTGAATGTCTGTCCTGTGGAAAAAGCTTTACTCAGAAATCTAGTCTTTATAGACACATGAGATTCAACACAGGTGAGAAGCCTTTTTCCTGTACCATTCGTAACAAGAATTTTGCTGAAAAGAGAATTTGACTATTCACATGAGAATTCACAGAGGTGAGAAGCCTTTTGAATGTCTGTCTTGTGGAAAACGCTTTACTATGAAATCTAATCTTGATGCACACATGAGAATCCACACAGGGGAGAATAATTTTTCGTGTACCATTTGTGACAAGAAGTTTATTAGAAAATGTAGTTTGACTTTTCACATGAGAAATCACACAGGCGAAAAGCTTTTTGAATGTCTTTCCTGTGGTAAAAGCTTCGCTCAAAAATCTGACCTTAAAGCTACAGTGTGTAATAATTACAGGGATATACAGTCAGAAATGTAATATATTATACATAACTATGTTATTTTATCATCATCTACAAGCTCAGCCCCTTAACCTTAATATTTGCGTTGCCTTAGAATTCGTTATGTATAATTACATAGGAGCGGGTCTCGCAGCCATGGAGGCAGACATCTTTGCGCTACGGCAGCGCAGAGCCAACAAACTAGTGATTGAGAGATCGCCAAAATGTCACAACGATGTAGAAAAAATAACGGGTATGTTTATTATCTTAAGTCTACATTAAATCTATACCCTACACAGACTAATGAAATACTATCTGTAAAATTATCTATGTAAACAAACCTCATCACTTGAGAAGGTAGGTGATGCGGACGTCGTGGAAGACATTTTGTCCCGTAACGCTCGCCGTACTGTTGGGGGGGAGAAGCGGTGGGGGGAGATGTTCCTGTTGCTGCAGTCTGACCGCTAGATGTCGCTAAAAGTTACACACTGTAGCTTTAATGCACACATGAGAATTCACACAGGTGAGAAACCTTTTCCATGTCTGTCCTGTGGAAAAAGCTTTACTCAGAAATCTAGTCTTGATTCACACAATATTCGCATACATTTGTGATAAAGGTTTTAAACAAGAAAGTAATTTGAGTCTTTGGGTGAGAGTAATTCATGTAGGATCTGGAATGATATGTATATATTAGGGGTGGAACGATTCACAATATCCACGGTTCGGTTCGATTCACGGTTTCTGGTCACGGTTTTCGGTTCGATTCGATACATGTTGATTGTTACACCGAAATTCCATAAAAAATTATTAAATTAATGAAAAAATCCCCCCAAAAATAATAGATTGTAATTATTTTAAATGATCCGCGGAAACCCTGGATCATTTCCGTATATTTTGCTGCTTTGAATTTAATCATCTGGCGCGTGCTCTCTAACCTGACAACAGCCAGATGCATGTCTCGCTCATGTCTCGCTCCGCCACATGCATCTGGCTGTTGTCAGGTTACATGCTCTCTACAATCTCCAAGGAACTCAGAGGGGAGCGGACGAAGCCACAGCGGGGGCTGTAGGCTTTGCTTTGAGCAGCCGGTCTGGAGCATAGCGGGGGCTGCTGACGGAGTATGAGGGATTTCGGGGTTAACATATAAATCATGTTGCTGTTAGCATAAACAAAACGTGTTGCACAATGCTTGCACACTGTTGCACTTTTATCCACAACTTTCTTTCCGCCGTCATCGTAGGTCACTCTAAATGCAAAGCGCTCCCATACAGCAGACCTATAAAGTGCTGCTGGCGCGTCTTCCAACTCCTGTTCTTTCCCACTCGCCAGTCCGACACAATTCTCCACAACAACTGATTTTTTTCCCTGCTACACCCGGCTACGCTGCTTCGCTTCTTCTTCTTCTTGTTTACTACTGGTGGTTGGCTTTGGTCGCAGCACTGCCACCTTCTGCTCTGGAGTGTAATCGCTTCCTCTATGAGAAAAAGGAGCAGCGCATGAACCGAACGAAACACACGCGAACCGAACCGAGACAGTCGAACCGAACGATTCTGACGGTTTTCATAAATCGTCCCATCCCTAATATATATATATATATATATATATATACACTATATTGCCAAAAGTATTTGCTCACCCATCCAAATTATTGGAATCAGGGGTTCCAATCACTTCCATGGCCACAGGTGTATAAATTCAAGCACCTAGGCATGCAGACTGTTTTTACAAACATTTGTGAAAGAATGGGTCGCTCTCAGGAGCTCAGTGAATTCCAGCGTGGAACTGTGATAGGATGCCACCTGTGCAACAAATCCAGTCGTGAAATTTCCTCGCTCCTAAATATTCCACAGTCAACTGTCAGCTGTATTATAAGTAAATGGAAGTGTTTGGGAACGACAGCAACTCAGCCACGAAGTGGTAGGCCACGTAAACTGACGGAGCGGGGTCAGCGGATGCTGAAGCGCATAGTGCGAAGAGGTCGCCAACTTTCTGCAGAGTCAATCACTACAGACCTCCAAACTTCATGTGGCCTTCAGATTAGCTCAAGAACAGTGCGCAGAGAGCTTCATGGAATGGGTTTCCATGGTCGAGCAGCTGCATCCAAGCCATACATCACCAAGTGCAATGCAAAGCGTCGGATGCGGTGGTGTAAAGCACGCCGCCACTGGACTCTAGAGCAGTGGAGACGCGTTCTCTGGAGTGACGAATCGCGCTTCTCCATCTGGCAATCTGATGGACGGGTCTGGGTTTGGCGGTTGCCAGGAGAACGGTACTTGTCTGACTGCATTGTGCCAAGTGTAAAGTTTGGTGGAGGGGGGATTATGGTGTGGGGTTGTTTTTCAGGAGCTGGGCTTGGCCCCTTAGTTCCAGTGAAAGGAACTCTGAATGCTTCAGCATACCAAGACATTTTGGACAATTCCATGCTCCCAACTTTGTGGGAACAGTTTGGAGCTGGCCCCTTCCTCTTCCAACATGACTGTGCACCAGTGCACAAAGCAAGGTCCATAAAGACATGGATGACAGAGTCTGGTGTGGATGAACTTGACTGGCCTGCACAGAGTCCTGACCTCAACCCGATAGAACACCTTTGGGATGAATTAGAGCGGAGACTGAGAGCCAGGCCTTCTCGTCCAACATCAGTGTGCGACCTCACAAATGCGCTTCTGGAAGAATGGTCAAAAATTCCCATAAACACACTCCTAAACCTTGTGGACAGCCTTCCCAGAAGAGTTGAAGCTGTTCTAGCTGCAAAGGGTGGACCGACGTCATATTGAACCCTATGGATTAGGAACGGGATGTCACTTAAGCTCATATGTGAGTCAAGGCAGGTGAGCAAATACTTTTGGCAATATAGTGTATCTATAGAATTGTTAGATGGTTTATCTGCTGCTGGACAATGGAGTCACAGTCTGCACATGGAGGAGGGAGGATTGGATTAAAGCTCCATCCGTAGGCTGGAAAAAGCCTTTAAACAGGGTTTGCTTACTAAAACTATAGCTGCTAAACTGTTAGTTTGGGAAATAATAATAAATGACTTTGGTAACTCTGGTTTAGGAAAAGCAGCCCAGCTAATAGCTACAGTCACACCACAACCACATCAGCCAGAGATCGTCATTTAAACATCAGAAAATCATCATTGCTGTTTTTAAACATTGCTATTGAATTAGAGATTTAATTGAGGTCTCATCCTCCAGTATTCTAGCTTTAGCTGAGATGGACAACTGTGCTTCTAGATTAAATAATTTCCAAACAGAAATGCTGCAGTTTTACCACATTAAGCATCCAGAACTACAGCCATGTTAGTAATGTTTGTAAGAAAGCAAACTATCTGTACATTTGCAGGGCTGCCAACTTTTCACCAAACCTTAGAAAGAGATTTTTAAATAGTGTGAACAGGCAACCCTTGTCAGGGTTAGATTGAAAGGCTTAGATTACAGCTGCAGCGAAAGGTTGGAGGTTTTCAGAGGATTTAACTGAAACAAAGGTTCACACTGCAGGCCTGGATGCTCAATTCAGATTTTTTTTTAAATCTATTTTTTTTTTTTTTACGTTCCCGTTCACATTTCCAAATAAATGTGACTTGTATTTGATCTCCTGTGTGAACTGCAGTCATGCAGTGTCCCGCATGCTCTGTAGAGGACGCAGTGACTTCACAGACATCTTTTCAAGATGGTTAAACATAAATATTGCTCTCTGCATCATCGTCTGCCATTGTTTTTGTTTTTAAGCCGCTACTCCATAGCAGGACCCAGAATCGGTCTCCGCCAGTCATGTGACATTTGTTGCTAAGACGCCATTTTTGGTGGAAAAGGCGTAGTGTAAACAACTGCAGCATAGCATAACAGATTATAGCAGGTGGCCTGCTATAATCTGTTCCCCCCTTGTAACTTTAAGAAATAAAGGTCAATCAACTCCTAAGTTTCAGGAGTTAGTTGTCATCATAAAAGATGTTTATAAGCCAAAAATAAAAAAGCTGGGGCCTTTTTTGCCTGATTTAGACAGGGGGAACAGATTACAGCAGGTTTTATTTCATCCCATATTGCCAGTTCTGGCAATATGGGATGAAATAAAACGGCTGATGTTAGAAGACAAACTGTTTATTAAGGATAGTACAACATAGATAAATTGTACGTTACTATAAACACAAATATAGATTTAAGTACTAAATTTCAACCAGGAAACAATTATTTTCCTTCTGCATATAGTCTTTAATGATTACACGTGCACTCCATTTTCTATTTCATTTTTATTACAAGTATATGGTTTACAACAGTTTTCAATGGGATGAGAACATTTGGACACTGAAACAATGAGAGATTTTTTTAATGAACGTGTGGAAAAGAACAAGGATCTGTTTGCTTTCAGAGGGAGGAGTAGACACTGCTGTCAGCGACCAGCTTTCAAGCAAACGTTTGTGTTTTATTATTAGTTTTAGATCAATATCACCGGCGATATTCTGCTACAAAATGTGAAGTAAAGAATAAAACAGTAAAGCTCAACTTTCATACACGTAAAACCTTTCAAATTTCAAGTTCTGCACGTTGGATTTGAAGCGGAGTTAACTCGGGTTGTTCTTCCTACTCCATGCGCGCTCCCAACGAGGGGATACACATTTTTTCAGGGATAACTACCTTGGCACGACACCGGGACTGGCAGCCTCTCTCATCACACAACACGATCGTGTCATTTCTGGTAAATAATTGTGCGGAAAGAACAGCCGTGTGTGGGTTATCTCGACTTTCCACTTAATATGGTGGTTTTCCCACGATGCACCGCGCCCGAGGTAAACAATTGACGTCACCTGGCAGAGACCGATAGTGACGGTTGTCGGGTATTAATGGTGTCCAGGTCAGATGAATGCAACCTGGCCGTTCAGACACAGGGCGCACATATCGGATTCAGGACCACATAGCCAAGCAGTCTGGGTCGCATTGGAAAAACTCGGATCTGTGTTGTTCAGACTATCATGAAAAGATCAGATCCAGGTTGCATATGGGCCAAAAAAAAAAGAAGTATGGGCCCTACTTCATCTTCAAGATATAGTAAACTAAGATGCTGGTGAAGATTCTCAGTCATCCAGGTCGTCCCATCCCATCCAAATGAAGTGACCGATTAA